GTCCATCAAAAAGTCCAAGTCATACACGGATAAGACAGTCAGTCATCAATGCCTTTCAGTTAAGGGATAATCCAAATAACATAGTCCAATAACATATAATCAGTCCAGTAACCAAGATTTGCTAACAGTTGCAAAACTTACAATAGCTCACAGCACTCAGATCAGTTCAGCTCAGCATCTAATGAACAGAGAGAGAGCTAACCATCATTCTGGCTCCCTCTTATGGCCGATTGAGGAACAGCAACCAATCACATTTTACAGTATGGTTTAAAGAAACAGTTACAGCATTGCTACATGATTTATATATTGCCAACCCAACTGTTAGAATTATATTCCTAACAACCACGAAAGGAGCTCTCTTCATGATCTATTAAAAATCACTTATTGCAGGAGATCCTCAACTTACGACCCCAACTGAACCCAACATTAATGTTGCTGAGCAAGACAAGTGAGCTTGGCTCCTGGTACAACTTTTCTTGTCCCCGTTGTTAAGCGAATCCCTGCAGTTGTGAAGTTAGCAACACAGTTGTTGAGTGAACCTGGCTTCCCCATTGCCTTTGGTTGTCCCAAGATTGCAAAAATGGGATCCCATAACCCCCGGGACACTGCAACCATCATAAATATGACTCTGTTGTTAAGCGTCTGAATTTTGATCATGTGATCACGGGAACACTAGAACGGTCATAAGTATGAAAAATAGTCCTAAGTTCCTTTTTTTAGTACTGTTGTTGTAAGCCGAGGGCTACCTGTGCTTCCTTCCTTGAGTTCTTCATGGGAACTCCTGCAAAATTACTTGTGTAATCTGAAACATTATCACAGGTTTGGATTACATCGGAACACGGTTGAGTTCTTCTCTACTGCAAAACTCAGGTCCATACTACATTGTAGGGAAGAGGGAATAGATGGTTTGCTGACCCAAAGCAGGCTTGGGGTCAAACATGAGACTGATATTTGCTCATGGGGTTCAGAAAATAGCACTAGCACTAGCATTTAGACTTATATACCGCTTTACAGTCCTTGACAGCCCTCTCAAAGCAGTTTACAGTGTCAGTATATTGCCCCCAACAATCTGGGTCCTCATTTAACCCACGTTGGATGGATGGGATGCTGAGTCAACCTTGAGGCAGTCAGAATCGAACTTCAGACCGTGGGCAGAGTTTGCCTGGAATACTGTATTCTAACCACTGTGCCTCCTAATGGATAGGATAGTAAGGTGCAGCTAAGCGCCTTGTTCTCCCTTGTGCCTGCACAGAACATAATGAGTAATGGAAGGAGACTCCTGGGTGACTAGACAATGGTTAGTGTGAAGAAAAAACCCATTTAGTTAGCCTTACGTACTGCAGTGGATAGAGAATTGTTCTGACCCCCTCCTCTGTCCAGTAACAAGCTTAACTGGAATGTACTTTAATTAGCAAGACAGCAAAACCTCGGTGGCTGAAAGCCAAGCAGAACAAACAGATAAGGATCTTGGCATCAACTCANTTGTCTGAAACGGTATAGGGTTTCCTGCCTAGGCAGGGGGTTGGACTAGAAGACCTCCAAGGTCCCTTCCAACTCTGCTCTGCTATTCTATTCTATTCTATTCTATTCTATTCTATTCATGATGTTAAATGAGAAATTTGTTAAATGAAATTTGCCCCATTTTACGACGTTGTTAAGAGGAATCACTGCAGTTCTTAAGTTAGTAACAAGGTTGTTAAGTGACTCCGGCTTCCCCATTGATTTTGCCCATCTGAAGGTCGCAAAAGGGGATCACACATGATCCCCCCAGGACACAGCAACCGTCATAAATACGAACCAGCTGTCAGGCACCCAAATGTGAATCACGTGGCCACGGAGAGGCTGCCACAGTTATAAGTGTGAAAAATAGTCCTCAGTCACTTTTTTTCAGTGCCGTTGTAACTTTGAACGGTCCCTAAATGAACTGTGATAAGTCGAGGATTACCTGCACATATCCGAGAGAGAGAGAGAGAGAGAGAAATAGTTAACAGGGTCAACGCCAGCGAAGTTAAAGTTCAAAGCGCTCTGCTGACAGGCGAGTTATTTTTGAAATATTTTGATAACCGTGTCTGAACGCCGTAGGAGTTGAATGGTTTCATCAGTGTTCAAAGGGGTCCAAATAACAAGGTTGTTCATCATGGTTTGTCTAAACCAGCTTCTTTTCTTTCCAGAGAAGCACCTCCGACTCTGAAGAGGAGGAAGAACCGGTGAGTTTTCGTGTCGGTTTTTGTCCTCTTCTCCTTCTCACTTCCCAGTTAACCATTAGCAGGAGATCAATCCCACCGTTTGCTTAAGGCTTCTTGTTTTTGCTGTCCAAGAGGGAAATTGGAATATTATTAACCTGGTGCGTTTTTATGGTGCAATGTTGTCACGGGATGCCGAAATGACAATGGAGAAAAGCTTTCCAAGCAAATCAAGGCATTTTTGTCATCGTGACTTGTTCTACAACCTCCCTCTGGTTGGATCTCATCTCAACTTTAATCATGTCAACAATAAAATGGCCAGGATAGGGATGTTCCTGGGACCATACATAGAATCCCTGCTCTTCCTTTGTTGATGCTCCCTGCCTTGTTTTCATCATTTCAGCTTCTCGGTGATGACAAAATCATCCTCCACAGCTACAAGATCCAGTCCACCATCACGTCCCGCATGGCCAACACGATGGTCCAGACCATAGTGGAAAACAGAGCCAAGCGCCCGCAGAATCTGGCCTTCGATGTCCAGGTCCCCAAAGAGGCCTTTATCCACAATTTCACTATGTAAGTTGGAGGAAAACTAGTTCGCCCATTTAATTTTTTTTCGTAGGCTAAATGGGTTCATCCCAGGCTAAGCGGGTTGGAAATTGGTGCTTTCCAGCTTGCAAGATTGATTGGTTGACCATACAGGAAACATTACTAGATTATATGTTCTACTAGCTGAATACCCGTGCTCCGCTACGAAACTATGTGATTGGGCTTGATAAATCGACACTAACAGCTTGAAAATTAATGAGTAGTTACCAGCGGCTTCTCCTCTCTCCTTCTCTCCCTCAGGCTGCTCCCAAAGAAGCCTCTCCTCTCTCCTTCTCTCCTTCAGGCTGGCCCCAAAGAAGCCCCTCTCCTCTCCTCTCCCCTTCTCTCCCTCAGGCTGGCCCCAAAGAAGCCCCTCCTCTCCCCTTCTCTCCCTCAGGCTGGTCCGACAGAAACCTCTCCTCTCCCCTTCTTTCCCTCAGGCTGGCCCCAAAGAAGCCTCTCCTCTCCCCTTCTTTCCCTCAGGCTGGTCCCACATAAACCTCTCCTCTTCCCTTCTCTCCCTCAGGCTGGTCCAACAGAAACCTCTCCTCTCCCCTTCTTTCCCTCAGGCTGGCCCCAAAGAAGCCTTTCCTCTCCTCTCTCCTTCTCTCCCTCAGGCTGGCCCCACAGAAACCTCTCCTATCTTATCCCCTTCTCTCCCCCAGGCTCCTCTCCAAACTCCCAGCCTGCAGGCTAGATGAGTCATGTGCTGGCCTCACCCACATCCAAGTGGCAGTTGGAAAAGAGTTATTTTCAGGTTGGGAGGGGGAGTAGAACGTCTAACTCCTTAGCACCAGAGTGTGTTAGTAATAATATAGAAAATACTAATGATCTGATGGTCATTTCGAAAAATTCTTTCTTACTGAGCACCTAGAGGCCAAGAGGAACATATGTGCCAAATTTCAAGTTTGTAGGCTTTACAGTTCTGGAGATTTCGTGATCACAGCGTGAGTGGTTTTCGCTTTTACATATACCGAAGATATATATAGACCTCCTATTGTATGGCATTGCATTGCATTGCGTTCTGTTCTATTCTGTTCTATATTGTTCTGTTCCATTCCCATTCTGCTCTCATTCCATTCCATTCCATTCTGTTCTATATTGTTCTGTTCATTCTGTTCCGTTCCTGTTTCCTCCCCTTCCCTTCCCTTCTATTCTGTTCTATATTGTTCTGTTCCATTCCCATTCCATTCTCATTCTGTTCCATTCCATTCCGTTCTGTTCTGTTCTGTTCTATCCTATATTGTTCTGTTCTGTTCTGTTCTGTTCCGTTCCTGTTCCCTTCCGTTCCATTCCATTCTGTTCCATTCCATTCTATTCTATCCTATATTGTTCTGTTCCATTCCGTTCCTGTTCCCTTCTGTTCTGTTCCCTTCTGTTCTGTTCTATTCTATATTCTGTTCTGTTCTGTTCTGTTCCGTTCCATTCCTGTTCCCTTCCATTCCCTTCCTAATTCCATTCCTTGTTCTGTTCCGTTCCTGTTCCCTTCCCTTCCTAATTCCATTCCTTGTTCTGTTCTGTTCCGTTTTGTTCTGTTCTGTTCTTATAGCTGCCCATCTCACAGGTGACTGAATGTGAGTGCTGCTTCTGCTTCTTTCCTGTTCTACAGGAACTTCAACGGTATCACATTTACGAGCTCAATCAAGGAGAAATCGGCTGCTCGAACGCAGTATGCCGAGGCGAGGGCCAGGGGCAAAGCTGCTGCCATCCTCAGGTAGGTAACCCTGGTTGCAGTGACCAGACTTCCCTCCGTTCCCTTTGTCCTGTCGTGGGGCTCTGGAAAGCGCAGGGTCAGGAAAGGATGGGCAGCACCTCTGGCTACTTTAAAGCCAGGACAATCGGATAATCCTCGACGTGTGGCCACAATTGATCCCGCCCCCCCCCCAAATGATGTTCCTAAGTGAGACAGTTTGTTAAGTGAGTTTTGCCCAGTTTACGACTTTTCTTGCTACCGTTGTTAAGTGAATCACTGCAGTTGCTAAATTAGGAACCCGGTGGTTAAGTAAATCTGGCTTCCCTCTTGATTTTGCTGGATGGAAGGTCACAAAACAGGATCGCGTGACCCCAGGGGCACTGCCACTGTCATAAGTACAAACCAATTGCCAAGTGTCTGAATTTTGATCCCGTGACCAACGGTCGTTAAGTGTGAAGAATGGTCATAAGTCACTTTTTTCAGTGGCGTCATAACTTCGAGTGATCACTAAGGAAATGGTTGTAAGTCGAGGGTTATATGTATTCAGAATATTCCCCTTTACTTTCGTTACTCAATTGCAGCTAGGGGGGGGGGGCAATTTGTTGTTTTCATTTCAATAAGGAGGATCCTTTGTGTAATTAACACAGGAGCAACGCCCTTGACATGGAGAACTTCAAAGCGGAACTCAACGTCCCAAGTGGAACCAAAGTCCAGTTTGAAATTCACTATCAAGAATCTATCCGGAGGAAACTGTCAACTTATGAACATATCATCCCTCTGCATCCAGGGAGGCTGGCCAAAAATTTGGAGGTTAAAAAAAGAAGAAATTGGTGGAATAATTGAAGTTGGAATGTGACTTTTTTCCTTCTTTCATCCCTCCTTCCCTCCTTCTCCTCCCTTCCCTCTCCATCCTCCCTCCCTTTCCTCTCCTCCCTCCCTCCCTTTCTTTCCTCTCCTTCCTTCCTTCCTTCCTCCCTCCCTCTCTCCCTTTCCTCTGCTTCCTTACTTCCTCTCTCCCTTTCCTCTCCTTCCTTACTTCCTCTCCTCCCTCCCTCCCTCCTCCCTCCCTCCCTTTCTTTCCTCTCCTTCCTTCCCTTCTCCCTCCTTCCTTTCTTTCCTCTCCTTCCTTCCTCTCCTCCCTCTCTCCCTTTCCTCTCCTTCCTTTCCTCTCCTTCCTCTCTCTCCTCCCTCTCTCCCTTTCCTCTCCTTCCTTACTTCCTCTCCCCCTCCCTTCCTCCCTCCCTTTCCTCTCCTTCCTTCCTCTCTCCCTTTCCTCTCTTCCCTCCCTCCTTCCTCCCTTTCTTTCCTCTCCTTCCTTCCTCTCCTCCCTCCTCCCTTCCTTTCCTCTTCTTCCTTCCTCCCCCCTTTCCTTCCTCCCTCCTCCCTTTCTTTCCTCTCCTTCCTTCCTCTCCTCCCTCTCTCCCTTTCCTCTCCTTCCTTACTTCCTCTCCCCCTCCCTTCCTCCCTCCCTTTCCTCTCCTTCCTTCCTCTCTCCCTTTCCTCTCTTCCCTCCCTCCTTCCTCCCTTTCTTTCCTCTCCTTCCTTCCTCTCCTCCCTCCTCCCTCCCTTTCCTCTCCTCCCTCCTCCTCCCTTTCTTTCCTATCCTTTTCCTCTCAATTTCCTCTCCTCCCTCCCTTTCCTCTCCTTCCTTCCTTCCTCTCCTCCCTCCCTCCCTCCCTTTCCTCTCCTCCCTCCCTCCATCTCCTCCCTCCCTTCTTTCCTTCCGTTGTAAAGTCAGTTTGGCCACATGGGTTCCTTGGCTTACACCATGATGACTTACAATGGAAATTACAACTTACAACGACTTCTAGGCCGAGATTTACCTTCAGACCTGTTTTTAGAAAAATACCATCTGAGATGTTGTCATTTTTTTGTTCTTCTGACGTTTTATCTCATCTCTCTCCTATCCCACGGCCATAGGTGAATGTCCACATCGTCGAACCACAGGGGATCAGTTTTGTCCACGTTCCTAACACCCTTAGTGAGCAGTTTAACGATGCAGCTACAGTCAACAAAGAAAAGAAAAAGGTAAAAAATTAATAATTCTTGAGGGGGGTGGTGGAAAGGATTTTCAGCAATCCCTACTTATGAATCCAAGTTTCACATCCAGCGAGGGGGTCGAAAATATTGCGATTGTGTTTGCATGCAATCTTGATTTTTTTTCCCTCCTTCCCCTTTACTCCGCAGATGCTCCTGGTTGAATTGGAGCAGAAAGACTTCACGTTAGCTTTGATTTTTAAGACTGAGTTTGGGGATCCTCAGATCATCCAGGTCACGGTTGTCCCAAAGGTGTTTCTTTTTTCAAAAGGCAACTGGCCTTTCTTTTTCCTTGAAGACGTTTTGCTTCTCATATAAGAAGCTTCCTCGGTTCTAACCGAAGGGTGGAAGATGGATGTATATACCTTTGTGGCCTCAATAAGACTCGGGAAGAGAGGGCTAACGACCACGTGACTGCAAGGGATATAAGTCCTTCCGTTGTCCACTATTCAGTCAGGACAGAAGAAGCTTCTTGGATGAGAAGTGAAAGATTTTCAAGGAAAAACCAAGTCCAGTTGCCCTTTGAAAAATACTCCTTTTGAACCACTGTGCCACCAGGGCTCTTCCTTCCTTCCTTCCTTCCCTCCTTCCTTCCTTCCTTCCTTCCTTCCTCTCTCCCTCCCTCCCTCCCTCCCTGCCTTTTCTCTCCTTCTACCCTCCCTCCGTTTTCCTTTCCTCTCATCTCCCCTTTCCTTCTCCCTTCCTTTCTTCTTTCCCCCTTTCCTTTTTCCTCCCCCTTTCCTTTCCTTTCCTCCCTCCCTTTTCTCTCCTTCCACCTTCCCTCCCTTTTCCTCTCCTCTCCCCTTTCCTTTCCTTCTCCCTTCCTTTCTTCTTTCCCCCTTTCCTTTCCTTTTTTCCTTTTTCCTCCCCTCTTTCCTTTCCTTCCACCCTCCCCTCCCCTTTCCTTTCCTTTCTTCCCTCCATCATTCCCTTTCCTCTCCTTCCACCCTCCATCCTCCCTTCCTTTCCTTTCCTTTCTCCTCCCTCCCTCCCTTTTCCTTTCCTTTCCTCTCCTCTCCCCTTTCCTTCTCCCTTCCTTTATTCTTTCCCCCTTTTCTTTTTCCTCCCTCCTTTCCTTTCCTCTCCTCTCCCCTTTCCTTCCCATTCCTTTCTTCTTTCCCCCTGTCCTTCCCTTTTTCCTCCCTCCCTTTCCTTTGCTTTGCTTTCCTCTCCTCTCCTCTTTCCTTCTCCCTTCCTTTCTTCTTTCCCACTTTCCTTTTTCCTCCCTCCCTTTTCCTTTCCTTTCCTTTTCTTTCCTCTCCTCTCCCTTTCCTTCTCCCTTCCTTTCTTCTTTCACCCTTTCCTTTCCTTTTTTTCCTTTTTCCTCCCCCCTTTCCTTTCCTGCACTCTCCCTCCCCTCCCCTTTCCTTTCCTTTCCTTTCTTCCCACCCTCCCTTTCCTCTCCACCCTTCACCTCCCTTTCCTCTCTTGCACCCTCAATCCCCTCTCCTTCCTTCCCCTTCCTTTCCTTTCCTTTCCTTTCCTTTTCCCTCCCTCCCTCCCTCCCTTCCTTAACACTTAGCAATAGCACTTAGACATATACCACTTCACAGTGCTTTTACAGCCCTCTCTAGCCAGTTTACAGCCCATTTGCCCCCAACAATCTGGCTCCTCATTTTACTGACCTCGGAAAGATGGAAAACTGAGTCAACCTTGAGCCAGTGAGAATCAAACTGCCGGCAGTGGGTAGAGTTTGCCTGCAATCCTGCAGTCTAACCTCTGGGCCACCAGGGCTCAATGGGGAAAGCTGGATTTGCTTAATAGCCACACGATTCGCTTAAGAATGGCAAAGATTCGCTTAGCAACATGGCAAAAAGAGTCATAAAACCAAGTGCAACTCCTTTATCTCTTTCTTAGCATTAATTCTGCTCTGGTCTCAGTTGTGTTTGTAAGTTGAGGACTATCCGTATACGTGAGGACTTTCAATTGCACTGAGCTGGAAGTACAATCGAAAGGCACAACAGACGCCTGTTGAGTAAATCAATAATGTTGGTTTCATAAATCTTATAGGTGGGGCTTCTGGAGGAGGAAGGACGAGATCATTGAAAGGGGTACCTGCTGAATGTAGATTTCACACTCAAATGTTGCTTGAAACCCATACAGAACAGTCCGCAAATTTAGTGGCTAAGACGCTGAGCTTGTTAATCAGAACGGTCAGCAATTCGGTGGTTCAAATCCCTAGCTCCGTGTAACGGAGTGAGCTCCCGTGACTTGTCCCAGCTTCTGCCAACCTAGCAGTTCGAAAGCATGTAAAAAAATGCAAGTAGAAAAATAGGAACCACCTTTGGTGGGAAGGGAACAGCATTCCATATGCCTTCGGAGTTGAGTCATGCCGGCCACATGACCACAGAGACGTCTTCGGACAGCGCTGGCTCTTCGGCTTTGAAACGGAGATGAGCACTGCCCCCTAGAGACAGGAACGACTACCACGTATGTGCGAGGGGAACCTTTACCTTTACTTTAAATCTAGTTCTCACTTTATCTGTTCTCTTTGCCCTTTAAGGCACATGTATCCTTCAAACCGAGCCTGGCCCAGCAGCGGGAGTGCTCCAATTGTACCACCACAGCTGTGGAGGGCAATCTTGTGGTGACCTACGATGTCAACAGAGAGACGAAAGCTGGAGAGCTGGAGGTACTTTGCTGACGGTCTTGAGGGCTGGGATTGTGAGAGGAAGGATCCAGGGAGATCTGCACCGGGGATAGGCCAAGAGATGCAAGACCGAGGGGAGGATGTACTCATCATTGGGGTAACCTCAATTGTGTTATTTTAAGTGCTGTCCCTCTGCTACCATTCTGAGAATTTTTCTGAAGAAAGGGAGGTAAGGAAAGAAGGAGTGAAGGAAAGGAAGGGAGAGAAGAAAGGAAGGAAGGAAGGAAGGAAGGAGGGAGGAAAGGAAGGAAGGAATGAAGGGGTGGAGGGAACGAAGGAAAGAGGGAGGGAGGAAAGGAAGGAAGGAGAGCAGGAGGAGGAAAGGAAGGAAGGAAAAAAGAAAGGAAGGAAGGAAAAAAGGAAGGAAGGGAGGGAGGAGGGAGGGAAGGAAGGAAGGGGGGAGGAGGGAAGGAAGGAGGGAGGACAGGAAGGAAGGAGAGTGGGAGGAGGAAAGGAAGGAGGGATTGAAAGAAGGAAGGAGGAAAAGAGGAAGGAAGGGGAGGAGGAGGGAACCAAGGAAGGAAGGAGGGAGGAAAAGAAGGAGAGTGGGAGGAGGGAAGGAAGGAAGGAAGGAAGGAAGGAAGGAAGGAAGGAAGGAAGGAAGGAAGGAAGGAAGGAAGAAAACTTACATACAGACCTATGCGAAAGATTCTTCTCCACAGGAAACTCCCGGTTTTAGGGTTCTTTGAGAAATTCATTGGTAAGGAACTTTCTTTTCCAGATCTTCAATGGGTATTTTGTCCACTACTTTGCTCCGGATGATTTGGACCCTCTGCCGAAAAACATCCTGTTTGTCATTGATGTCAGCGGCTCCATGTGGGGAATAAAAATGAAACAGGTGAAGGCAACGTCCCCGGAAGAGTTGAAATTCCTGCACGGAAAAAGTCTAGATGATCCTAAAACATCAGTGCTATTCTCCAATTCTCTCTCTCTCTCCCCTCCCCCACTCCTTCACTTCCTTTCCTTCTCTCCCACTCTCTCTCCCACTCTCTTCCTCTTCCTCCCTCTCCCACTCCCTCATTCCCTCTCTCCCTCCCTGTCCCCCTCTCTCCCCCCCTCTCTCTCCCACTCCCTCCCCCTCCCTCTCCCCCTCCCTGTTTGTGAAGCCTTGCAGGCTCTGAATGACCCTAATTCACAGCCGTATAAATAAAAGAGGGTTTTGGGGACTAAGATTGTGGTTTATGCTTTTTCGGGAAGCCTGGGTCAGGACAGGTTATAATTCTGAGGTCACCTTCACCAACCTTTCCTCCCTTGTGGCGATTTCAGACTCTGCATTTCTGCACATGCCCTTCAGGAGGGATCCTAAAAGCAGCCGTATTTCCAAGGGAGGAGATTGTGGGGCGCAAAATCTTACGGACTTTTAGATCCGATTCTATTTGACGTTTCAGACCGTTGAAGCTATGAAGACCATCCTGGGTGATCTCCGATCCGATGACCAGTTTTCTATCCTGGATTTCAACCACAACGTCCGGTGCTGGAGGGACAGTTTGGTGCAAGCCTCCAAAATCCAGACCGAAGCAGCCAAGAAGTACGTTGAAGGAATCCACCCCAATGGAGGTGAGGAACCTCAAGGAATCGAAAGGATTTGTAAAAAAAATAATAAAAGGCCCCTCTGTTTGGAACGTTTACTTAACTTGGTGCGAGGCTTCCCTGCACTAAAAAGACTTTGCTCGCTCTTGTATTAAGCCCCCTGGCTTTCCTCAACGCATCCTGGAGAGGAGATTTAAACTCTGGAGATAAATTATTGACCCCCAATTAAACCATTCCTCTTATTTACTCAGTTTGTATAACGAGGATCATCTATCTTACTAAGCTATACTATCTCTTCCTCCTGTTGTTGTCTCTTCCTCCTCCTCCTCTTCTTCGCCTCCTCCTCGTCTCCTCCTCCTTCTCCTTTTTCTCCCCTCCTCCTTTTCCTCCTTCTTGTCCTTCTCCTCCTCTTCCTCTCCTCCTCCTTCTCCTTTTTCTCCTCCTCCTCCTCCTCCTCCTCCTCTCCTCCTCCTCCTCTTCCCCCACCTCCTTCTCCTCTTTTTCTCCTCTTCTCCTCCTCCTCTCCTCCTCCTTCTCCTTTTTCTCTCCCCCTCCTCCTCCCTTTTCTCCTCCTTGTCTTTGTCCTCCTCCTCCTCTTCCTCTCCTCCTTTTTCTCCTCCCACTCCTCCCCCCTCCTCCTCCACTACTATTACTACTACTACTACTACTTCTACTACTACTACTACTACTACTACTTATTCTCTTCCTCCTCCTCCTCTTCCTCCTCCTCCTCTTCCTCCTCCTCCTCTTCCTCCTCCTCCTCTTCCTCCTCCTCCTCTTCCTCCTCCTTTTTCTCCTCCTCCTCCTCTTTTTCTCCTCCTCCTCCTCTCCTCCTCCTTTTTCTCTTCCTCCTCTTTCTCTCATCCTCTCCTCCTTCCTCTGCCTTCATTCATCAAAAATAAATAATGGAAATACAATAATATAACATTTAAAAAAAACTTTCTTGTCCCCTTTTTAATTTTTAACAGGGACCAACATCAATGATGCCCTTCTCCGGGCCATGTTTATTTTAAACGAAGCCAACTCTTTGGGGATGCTGGATCCAAGTTCTGTCTCCATGATAATATTGGTTTCGGATGGAGACCCAACTGTTGGTAAGACCTGGAAGTTCAGGCTTTCATTTCCCATCCTACAAGCCAGGAAAAGCCCCTAGGTTTTCAAGGTTTTCACTCATCCAGTTCCGGTCAGGCGCAGAGATGCAGAGACTAAGGATGACCTTGGCTTTCTAGAAAGAATGTTGTTATGGCTACATAGCATCTAACTCCTTACAATCCCCCCTCCCATTTCCCCACAATAGAAAATAGAACAACAGATGACCTTGGCTTTCTAGAAAGAATGTTGTTATGGCTACATAGCATCTAACTCCTTACAATCCCCCCTCCCATTTCCCCACAATAGAAAATAGAACAACAGATGACCTTGGCTTT